CTGCTTGGGCTTTTTTTGTGAGCCAGATAAGTGAGGTAAATCCCACTGCCAGTAAATTCATAGCATCTATTCCTTTTCATGCATCCTTTTTTAAAAACTATTGAGGCAGCAGAATGGAACAATATACGCATATAAGGGCTGCCACAGAAATTTTACTGGCATTTCAGTCAACTTTTATTCCAAAGGTGAAGTGCTTATGCCTTGGAGGCTCAAACTGTGCAACTGTTTGCTGTTACATTGTAGATTCCATACTTCTTTGAGTTTCTTGTATTATGCATTGCTGTAACATGTACCTGTTTTTATATTTTAGCAGAAAACTTGCTGATCAAGCACAGGAGGAAACAATAGCTTTACATTAATTTTGTAAACCCAAGCATAGACTTGATCCAAGAGAACACTCGTCTCCAGCTGAGCACAAACAAGTTCAGTGAACCAGCATGGATGGGAGCTTGCCTAAAGGAGCAAGAAGTTTCCAGGTGTGAGGACTGGTTGTTCTGTTCTTTTGGAGCCAGTGATCTGCTTCAGAGCATAAGGTCCTCAGGGCTCCTGTAACTTTGTACATACCTTGTCCTATGTATCCACTTAATGGACGCATAAGAAAGAAGCCTCTAGAAAGACAAGCTATAGCTCAGGTTGTAAAGCACAATAGTCACAAGCTTATTTAACAAATATAGGTTTTTCTTTAATGTTTAAGTCCTTACCTAAGCATACCTATTTCTTTGCATTAATTTCTCTGTAAATATGTTGTCATAATGCTTTTCACAATGTAGTAATTATCAGTGCTTTCAGATTCTCCAGAAAGGTGCTCTCAGTACAGATTATTTATTTATATGTTGATATTTTTGGTAATTTTGCAGCAAATATTGTTCAGATAAAAATGTCATTAAGGTAAACCTCAGTGACTCACAGCTGCAGTGTGGGGATTCTGAATGTCTGATAGGCTGCATAAGACTCCTAATCTACTTGGAGTTTAAGGTCAGGTAATTCTCTGTAGATTTTAGCTTTAACCAGTAGCTTTTCATATTTTCTCTATAACCTTTAATGTCTAGATATGGATCTTACTGAATTATTGGGAGTAGGAAGTTGCCAGTTGACATCTTCCGATAAATGCACTTGAAAGCAGATTTTTTCTGCCCCACCAACCACTTTTACTTCAAGTATAGTATCAGAGTTCATTTGAGAAGAGGTGCATCTATTTCTGCAAAAGACATGCTAAGGGCCAAGTGCAGAATGTGAAGCCTTATTGTGGTCAATTGGCTGCTACCTTACTATTGAACTTTCAATTTTATGAATATAGGGCATATTGCAAACAAACCATTGCAGTTCCTAAAACTATTCATTAGAAGATGAAAGGGCAATGTGGCTAAAGTGTCTTGCTATGGGTCTGTAGGTATCAGGTACAAGCAGGGTAGAGCTATACTTTATAGATTAACTAATCAAAGATGCATACATTGTAAGTATCATCAAGCTTTTTTCTGGAGTCATGCTGGAACCTGTCCCCAGTTTACAGCCGTAAATGGATACAGTATTGGGTTATTTGGGCTAGTGAAGTAAAAGGCAGCTAGCCCTAATGCCAGGAATATCCCTCATTTGGAACCACTGTCCCTCAATGATATAGGCTTGGCGGCCTACCTCAGCTAAGGATAACCTTTGATCTTAAAAAAAAAACAAACAAGCTGCCCACCTCCCCCCCCCCCCCCCC